ATTTACCTGTTCTCACATTTAAAATAAATGGAATATTACAATATGTGGCCTTTTGTATCTGCGTTCTTTCACTTAGCATGTTTTTGAGTTCCTCATAGTATTATTTTTGTAGCATTCATTTCTTTGTTGTCTTCCTTTTTTTGTGGCTGAAAAACATCCCATTGAATGGGTCTGCTGTACCATATCACACCACATTTTGTCTATTCATAAGTTGATGGGTACTTAGGTTGTTTCTAAATTCTGGCTATTACGAATAATACTGCTGTGAGCATTCCTGTACAGAGTTTCCAGTGAATGTATGGAGTAGAATTGCTGGGTGGTACAGAATGCTATGTTTAACTTGTAGAGGACTTGCTCCACTATTTCCTACAGCGACTGCACTATTTTACATTCCTACCAGCACATATGAGGGTTCCAATTCCTCTACATCCTCACGAGCTCTTGTTATTGTTAGTCTTTTTTCTTATAGCCATCTAGTGAATGTGAGGTGGTATTTCTTTGCTTTGTTTTACATTTTCCTAAAGACTAATGATGTTGAGTCTTTTTCATGAGCTTGTTGGCTATTTGTATATCTTTTGGAGAAATGTGTGTTCAGGTCCTTTGCCCATTTTTAAATTGTGTAGTCTGTCTTTTTGTTGAGTCTTGACAGTTCTTTATATATTCTGGATGGCAAACCCTTATCAGATACAAGATATGTATGGTTTGCAAATATTTGTTAGAATTTTGCGAGTTGTCTTTTTATTTCTTGATATTGTTCTTGGAAGCACAAAGGTTTTAATTTTGATGAGGTCCAATTTATCTTCTTTTGTTGCTTTTGCTTTTGGTGTTCTGAAAAGCAGAGGAAATTGCAGGGGAGCTTGGGCAGGGTTTGGTCATGGAGAGACTCTTTGACAGTGGATGTCTTTTTCCTAAAAGGTTGATGTAGGGCCCACATATATATCAGTATTTATGTCTTAATTCCAGTGAAAGATAGAATCTGTATAGCTCCATTCCCTGTCACCCCCCACCCATCCTGCTATATTGTTATGCAAATTGTATCCATGCAGGGGTGGGCAAAAAAGTAGGTTTACAGTTGTGAGTACAGGAAACATAGTTTATTCTTGTATTATTTATTTGTATTATTTGTCTTCTTGTTATTTTGTATCCTTATAATTTATCTTTTAAGTAATGATGTCTGGTAATTTAACCTACTTTTGCCCACTCCTGTATGTGTTACAACCCAGCCTGAAGTTTTTATAATTATTCTTTTATAATTAGCTACATGTTTACCTTTTCTAAGTTACTTGTTTTGTTTTTGTGGATTTGAATTACTGTTTGGTATCCTTTGCTTTCAGCCTAAAAAACATCCTTAGTATTTCTTAGAAGGCAGGTCTGTTAACACATTCTTTCAGCTTTGGTTTCTTTGGGACTGTATTTGTTTTACTTTCATTCTTAACAGATAGTTTGAACATTTTACATATGCCATCCCACTGCCTCCTCACCTCTATTGGTCCTGATGAGGAGTCAGCTGTTAATCTTATAGGGGTGCCCTCCATTGTGATGAAAGCATTTTGACTGATGTGCCTGATGTAGATTTCTTTGTGTTTATTCTTTCTAGAGTTTGTTTATTGATTTGGAGTTTATTGAGCTTCTTGGATGTGTAGGTTAGTGTTTTCCATCAAATTTGGCAAGTTTTCCACCATTATGACTATGAATATTTTTTTCTGTCTCTCTCTCTGTCTCTTCTTCTGATACTTCCATTACTTAGGTTGGCATGCTTAATGGTACTCTAAGACACCATTCATTTTTCCACATTGCCCTTAAAAATAAAACAGTTATTTTACTGGCAAAAATGGGTTTATTTGGGAATAGCCAAGAATTGCAATTTGGGACAAGACAGCTATAGCAAAAGCCACGGGCAAGTCCAACAAAGTGGAAGAGTTATTTTATGGAGTAAAAGGTGGAAGTTGGATAGGTTGTTTTGAACCAAAGGCCATTGGAGAAAAGGGAGAGGTCAGGAGGTGATGGTTTTCTCATTGACTGAGATGCTGGGGAGTCAGTTTCTTGTAGGAGATGTCACGAACAGCGTTTCCTGTTGGGCCTGTAATTGATGACTCCTCCTCGTGGAGGATTCTTCTGTTGGGGTCTGTAATTGACTATTTTTCCTGTAATTAATGTCAGGCTGGAGCTCCTCTCCTGTCCTGGTCACTCCATTTCAGTCAGGTTTCCCTTTATTTTCACATCTGCAAGCCTATTCTATAAACTTATTTCTATTGATTTTTCTGTCATGCTCTGTTCTTTTTCTCTTTTCTTCAGATGACATCATCTCTATTGATCTTTCTTTAAATTTGCTGATTCTTTCCTCTGCCAAGTCAAATCTAGTTTTGAATCTCTAGAGTGAGATTATTCATTTTGATTACTACTTTTTGACTCCAGAATTTTATTTTATGTTCTAATGGTTTCTCTCTCTTCCTTATATTCTCTGTTTGATGAGATGTCATTGTACCCTCCTATAGTTCTGTCTCTTTTAGTTCTGTGGCCTTATTTGCAATGGCTGCTTTGAAGTCTTAGTAAGTCCAGCATTTGGGCCCCTCAGTGCAGCTGCAATTACCTAGATCACACTTTTCTGTTAACTCTACATTTGCCATACTTTGTTGTTTTGGAAAACTGGACTTTTGGGAAGTGCATTGTAGCACCCCAGGGGGTTGATGTTGTTTGCTTAGTCATTTTACTTGTGTATTGGCCTGCCTCTGAACTATGTGAAGTCTGTTCTACTCTCCTTCCAGTGCGCAGCCTCGAATCTCCTTGCTCATATATATATTTTTTGTTTTAATCTTTTTGCTTGGTTACCTGGATCAGCATAAGCTACTTATTGGTCAGATTGTGGGTAAGCTCCCTCTGTCCAGTTAGGTTTTGGCCCTTCTCCACTGGATGCCCACGAGACCCCTCAGGCTGCTATCACCTTTGGGATTTACGTTTTTTATTTACCATTAGCTAGGGACTAGCAGCTTTGAATTTCTCTCTGATCACTCCATAGCCAGCATGGCCTAGAGCCGCTTGGCTTCCAAACTGCCATGGATGCACTCCTGGAGATGCTCCTGGGCTAGAGCAGGTGACAGTCAGTGCACATTGGCCCACGCTAGCTCAGAGCTCCTGCTTAAATGTGCCCGGGGCCTTCTGCCCTGCATTGTGTTTGCGTGGGGCTTGCTTTCCGTTGTGCCCATCCAGAGGGGTTTGTGATAGGGGAAGGGCGCACAATAGGTTGCTCCTGAGGGGGTGCAGCCTAGACCCCAGGGTTGACTGTGATTCCAGGAGGACTCTTGGCTCTCTTTGTGGTGGTCTCTCTGTTACACTCTGCTTGCTCTGCCGTGTAGCTGGTTGTTGCTAGTGTTGTGGCACTGTGAGCTGCCCAGCCTGCACAGATCCCCAGTGTCCCACAGTACCCTTAGGCATGGACTTCTCATTCTGTCCTGATGGAGTCATTCGCCTCCTTGGAGCCTGTCCCTCCCCTGGGTAGGACTTCTGTGCTCACACTAGAGAAGGGAGCAGGGACAACTTCAGCTTCTCCCTGATGACACCCCTTCTACAAGTGGAGCCAGGGGGTGGCCCCTAATCTTGGCTTGTGAGTAGCTCCAACCTGCAGAGCTGGGTAAGGACGGTCAGGACCCAGTGTTCTAGACTTTCCCCTGTCTAGGGTGGAGTGTCTGCCCAACAGGTGGGGGTCAGGGGGCAAGGGAAGAAAGCCCTGGTTCTCTGGCCTTACCCTCTTGGAATAGAGCTTGTGTAACTTGCTGGGGTGGGGGAACTTGCTGGCAGCCTGCCTCCCTGCCTTCTCTCCTGACCCTGGTGAGACCATAACCATGGACTGGGAACTGGGGGAAGGGATAAAGCTCCTACGGTAGTTTCTGATATTCCATAAGTTCTTTCTGTTCTTAATGAGACTTAAAATTTTCTCCAGTTACATAGTTGTTGGGGAGATGGTCTGCCACACCCTCACTCTGCCCTTCTCCACATGGCTTCCCCCTACAGCCCCAGCTTTTATTCCCTGTGCTGGCCAGGTCAGGTGGGATTCCCTCAGCAGATAAAACCCTGCCAAACTCAAGACTGCAGCTAACATCATAAGGAAACTACCCACCATAAGTGAGAGCTGGCAGACAGAGTAAGCATCAAAATTAAGACTGCTGTGAAGTCAGAAAATAGAATTATTAGACAGAGACTACAAAATAGGTATGCCTAAAATATGAAAGACATAGAGGAACCAAATAGGAGAAAGGAAAAAAAGAAAACCCTACCAAGACTAGGCAGATTTGAAAGAAAAAGCAATAAATAGACTTTGTATTTTTTAAAAAAGAATGGTCATTGAACTTTAACATGGAATAGACACAGAATTCTGATTTCTAGTCACATGACATTATAATTCGTGAAAAAGAGTCAGTTTGACAACAACACCTTTTATATTAAATTCCAAAATGTGAAGTTATGAGAGAGAAATTACCACTGCAGAAAACGTTTAAGTGACAGTAGAGAGAAGTTGAGCATCAGTTACTTGCATATGTGATCTGGGGCTCCCCTTTGCTGGGAAGTGTCTGCTGAAATGGTCTTCTTCTCCTGCCCCACGTCTCCCAGGTTCCAGTACTATTCCCTGGCTGAATTCTCTGAGGTCTCTTGTTTACTGCTCCTGGGAAGTCCCCAAGGGCCAGGGCTTCTCTGTCAGATGCTCTGGGTGGGCGCAGTCAGCCCGACACCTTCTTGGTGCTTAAACTAGGTTCTGCGTCATCGCTATCCCGTCTGTTGGTGTGTGACTACCCTAGGGGTGAATGCTGAGGTCCCTCCCAAGGCCCCTGTCCTGGAGCTTGGCCCTGGAATGAGCCAGATGGGTCTGGGAGGTGTGTTCTGGGTGTGCATGGTGTGATGAGCAGTGACTTGGAGGGTTTGAAACCTTGATATAGGGATGAATAAGGGACAGTGCTGAGGTGAAAGAGGGGATGTGAAGTTGGAGAGTGCTGTAGGAGTAAGAAGATGTGAGGTTTGGAAGGAGACCCTGAATCTTGTCTAAGATGGTTCTTAAACCAGGAGCACTGCCTACTTGGTGATTTGAGACAGGCTGGGAGGTGCTGCCGTAGGGCTCTGGGGTTTGAGCTCCCGAAGGTCCTGGGGCTTCCCTGCTGGGAAGGGAGGGTCATTTCCCCAGGTCCTTCTCCATGATAGCCAGCCCTTGTACATCTTGATGCCCTCTCCCAGGGGTCTCCCTGCTGTGTAATGGGCCTTGCATTTCTACACAGAGCCATGGAGCAAGTCTTGCGTGGTCTTCTTTCCTTTTTAGGAGTGGGCTTTTGTGAACACTGACATCTTTGCCAGGACCAAGATAGACCCCAGTGCCTTGGTGCAGAAGCTGGACTTGGACACGAGGAGTGTTGCTTCCATCAGGAGAGGTGAGAGCGCGAGGTGGGCCTTAGGGTTTGCGTGTCGGCAATGCCTGGCTGCCTTTGACTTGTTCATACACATGGGCCAGGGCAAATGTCAATTAACTGTACATTTTTAAAAGATTTTTATTAATGGAAAAATTTAAGATTTACCAAAATAGGAAGAATGGTGTAAAGAAGTCCCATGTGCCCATCACCCACCTTCAGCAGATGCATTTTGAAGCAGAGTTTCCTTCATGAATTCTTTAGTATCTATTTCTAAGGGCTCTTTTAAAAAAAAGCATACCAACAATGCCATTATTACATCTAAACAAATTAGCAGTAATTTCTTATCAGATAAACACACAGTGCTCCCATCTTCACGATTTCCTCATAAAGTTTTGTTTTATAAAAATCAGGGTGCAAACAAGTGCCCATGCTGCATTGCAGCCCCCTCCCAATCTTTTTCCTCATGTTTTTATGATGTGGGGAGGGCATTTTTCTGACTGCACTTCCCCCATTTTGGATTTTGCTGGTTGCCTTCTCCTGGTGTCTTTAACATGTTTTTCCAATCCAGCCCAGTTCTAGTCTAGAGCTTTTTGACTGAGATTCCCTGGAAGAGGAGAACAGCTCTGCTCCCCTTCGAGCTGCCCTGGAGATGGAGGGAGCTCCTGAGGCCTGGATCGGGTGCACCAGCCTGTCTGGAGAGAAACTTTAATGCTGCCTAGGTGTAAGCTGCACATGTGCAGTTGAGCATTTAAAATAATAGAGGTGTGTAATCTTGATAAGAGTACTTGGGCCCCCGGGCAGGGCTGTTTGCCCCTGGTGTCTGTAATCCTGCCGTACTTTACCTGCACCTATTTCCATTGGTTTAATTGGACTATACGGTCTCATATTTAAAGTTGTAAGTAGCTGGCCTTTTTGTCTTGCTGCTGCTTTAAGTCTTTGTGTTCATGTGGTTCTCTAGTGAATTGATGCATGTTGGATGATTTCAGCAGCATCTAGGTGTTTAGTATCATTTTCTAGGTTTCTGTCTGCAGTTTGTAAACAGCAGAGAGGTGTAAGATGTGGTTATTTCACAGAAAATGACATACTAAGCATCTTCTGTGGGGTTATATTGTTTACATCATCACTCTGGATTTTTGTTATGTCACTGGGGAGATGTGTGTGAATCTCCTTGCCATTATTTGGGCATTGAAACTGCAGGGAGCCAACACTTCCCCCCCTACTCTCCTTGGGATCCTGCAAATTAGAGTCACAAAAGACAGATCAAGAGAAAAGCAGTTTATTAATGTGTTCAGTGTACGTCATGGAGGAGGAATAGCAGTGATGAGAAACTCAAAAGGATGGTGAGAACTTGGTTTCTGGGGCATCTTAGCAATGAACAGTGTTTATAGACTTTCAGGGCTCAAACTGTGGGAAGGTAAATAGTGGGGCAACGAATGGAGGAAGGTGTCTGTGAGGGTCTGTCTTGGCTCTGACCTTCCCTTACCTTCACAACCACAGAGCTTCCCCGGAGAGGGGATTCCTGGCAGTCCTCATTTTTCAGAAGTTTCTTTGTGATCAACACGATCAAACGGTTTTCTGTGTTCACTCATTCTCTTACGGCTTGTCTGGGTATTTGGGGCAGTTCTAATCACCTTTCTTAACCTTGAACGAGTGCTTTATGTATTATAGATGTTAGCTGTTTGTCATTTCATACAGAAAACTCTTCTAGGATTTTTAAATTGCTGAGAAAGTTATTCCCCCAGAGAGCTGACAAATGCTGTTTTCTGATGGTTTCCCATGGTGGCTATTCCCGCCCCTCCTGCGTGTCACCTCTGGGGCCCCCTTTATGCCTCTCCTGGTGGTTGTGGGGCCTAGTTTACCTTCTGCCCATAGAACAGGCTCTGCTTTGTGGTCTAGGTTGGCATGCTGCCCTGCCTGTTGGTGGTGCATACACCCAGAAGAAGAAGGCATCTGCACTACAGCTGTTGTCCCCAAGCAGTTTGGAGGGAGTGGAGGGGACAGAGCATTAGTTTGCAGTCACAGGAGCTGAATTGGAGTCCTGGTGCTCTGCTTTGTTGGCTGTTGGATTTGGGGGCATCTGTGTAGCTTCCCAACATTAATTCTTTGTGTATCAGATGAACGTGGTATCTGCTGGGCAGACATCATATGTGCGCCTGCCTGGAGGTCCTACTGGGCTTCTTCAGCTATGCTGACCCACAGTACTCCCGTGTCAGTGAGGGGCTGGCCTACTTGCCCCCTTTCACAGACAAGGATGTGGTGCAGAGGGAGGCCAAGCCCCATCATAGGCCCTGCACACTTCCTTTGCTGAGCTCAGGGCTGTGAGTCCCCATCTGGGAATGAGAGGGCTATCAGGGCCTCCCTCCAGCACTGCTGGATGGTTCTCTGTGGGACGATATCACGGCTCCACCTTCACAAGAGGGGCTAAAGCTGTGCATCCACCTTGAAGTAGCCCTGGGTCAGCACCAGCACCATTGGGGCCCCATCCCAAACCTGCTAAGCCTTGTTTTCACACAGTCTCTGAGGGCCTCTGATGCTGCCAAGTGCAGGACTCCAGCCCAGAGCCTAGTGGGTCCTGCTTGGCAGCTATAGGAACACAGAAGCCCTCTCATCTCTTGTCTCTGTGAAGACCCTGGAGCTCAGACGGCCCCTCTGGGTTCTGAGCTGTGCTCAGCCAGGCAGTTCCTGGTCTGTTCAGGTCCTGCAGCTGCTGCAGCTCCTGAAGGAGCCCCCAAGGTTCCTGGTGGCAGGTGACTATGTCTCAGCCTTCCCCCCATCCGAGCATCTTTCTTCTGCAGCTCTTCCATATTGGCCTTCCTCTGCCTTGCTGCCTCCCTATTGGCCAACACCTTGATCTTGCAGGAGAACAATGGGTCTTGTGGTCCCCAGGCCTGTGCTGGGGGGAGGGAGGGGTGGCCTGGAGCAGTTGTAGGTCATGTAAAAAATGGTAAGGAGGACTCAGCTGGCTGCTTAGTGACTTGCTGGGCCATGAAGGCGAGGGTGCCTGTCTACCTGGATCAGCTCAGACGCATTCTTTCTTCGAATCCTCGCCTTGGGCTGAGTCACAAATAGAACTACTCCTGTGTCTCTGCTCCTGTCTCTGCCTTGTAGCCGGTGTGGACTGGAAGAGGCTGAGCCCACTCAGAGGGGAGCCTGTCCTGGTTTTGGGTCCATCACCTGGGTGGATGAATGTCTGTTGTGCATCCCCCATGTGCTCATGTGTGCTCCTCTCCTCCAGGCAGATGTGCTCTCACACACTCCCTGCAGCCCCAGGACATGGTGGGCTTTCCTGGTGGCATTGTTCCTGGGTTTCTGCATGGACCCTTTGGAGCCCTGTGGCGCCCAGTCTTCTCCTAGTTCCCTCCGATCCCCCTTGCAGGCAGGGATTCCATGCTTCCTTTGTGGGAACCACTAAGCTAGAGGCTGCCCGTGCAGAGGACCTCATCCACCACCAGCCCAGCTCCCCCATGCAGACGACCCCCAGCCATTGGCTTTGCCCTGAGGGTCAGGACCCCTGGGCTCATGGACCTGCTTGTGAAGCAGCTTTCTCCTCTGTGATGTGGAGACTTGAGAGCATGTGGCAGTGTGTTCCTCCCACACACAGATTGCTGCTCTGCCCATTTACTTCTAGTCTTATATTCCTATATGCTGGAAAGTTGTAGAGAATAAGCCCACTTTGTTCTCAGACGAGCACCTGGGTATTGGGCCAGTACTCTGTCCTATGGTCTGGACTAGGCATCCTAGCCCTAGAATCACACCCAGAGAGGTGGGCAGGGGTGGACTGGAGGAGGATAGGCCTCGTGAGGGAGACAGGAGCAGAAGGGTGGGAGGGAAGAGCCTCAGCATTGCAGCATGCTCGACTGTCAGCACGCTGGACCACTTGGAGGCTGCCAAGGGGCGGTGGTGGGAGCATGTCTGCTGGGCTCTGTGGCAGGAGAGGTTGGGAAAATAAATGCCGGAGGTGAGTGGACAAGGTGGCCACAGTGGAGGGACCTGGCTGCAGGGACTCCTTGAGTGTGTGCACTGCCTTCTCTGTCTGCAGGACTGTGCTGCTGAGAGCTCCATGTCCAGCAAGCAGACAGGGCTCTGGGCCTCATGGCCGTGCAGATCACAGTGCTGTGACTGCATTTTCCCTTGTGCTTGAGCGTCCCTCTGTGCTTCTGACCCACTGCAGGGGTTCCTTCTGAAACACCAGTCCAGAGCAGGCGCAGGCCCAGGGCTGCTCAGCAGAGGGCAGCAAAGCTGCGTGTCCTCTACAGCCAAGCTCAGCTTGGAGAGAACAGCCCTGCCTCTGGAGAGGAGCTGGGGAAGGCCCGGCTCCAGCACACAGGGTACCCTAGGGCTTTCCAGGGGTTCAGGAGTTTCCCACAAAGCCCCCCTTCAAAGACTTCCCACCTTTCCTCCAGCCTTGCAATCGGGTAGGACAGACTCCTAGACCGCTTCCCTGCCTTGCCTCCATCACATCCCCATTTCTAAAAGGGGAACTAATGAAGAGTAGGGGGTGTGGAGAGGGAATTACTGTCGTGGAGGAGCCAGTTTCTGGACGGACCACCTGGTGGTGTTTGTAGCTGTGTGTGGGCCCCCTGAGGACAGTAGACGGCATCCTGGAGTCTTGAGTGGGTGGCATTTACTGCGTTTGGGAACCTGTTTCTTTGTCATGTGTGTGCTGCTGGCTCTTGGAGGTGGCCACATCTTCGGTTGCAGGATGCTGGCTGTGAGCTCCTTGCATGTCTCCTAGGCCCTGGTGTCTGCTGTGGGGAGTAGGTCCTCGGTGGGAGTGCCTCCACCAGGCCCCTGGGAGGGGTATCCGCTGCCTCCAGGGTCATCCTGGCCAGCAGGGCCTGAAGGCCTGTGTGCTTAGCTGAGTGCAGGACCCAGAGGCATGGACTTCCGCTCTGGGCCTCTGGCATCTGGGGGGCTGCTGAGCCCACATGCTGTGGCTCTGGCCCTGTAGTGGCATAGGGGAAAGTGGGGAGGGGCCCTGCTGCCGGGCTGTTCTTGCTTGGTCTTTATGGAGCCTGTAA